AGCTTCAGTTTTAAGGGTCCCCCCTTTGGAGAACTAGAGAGGAGAGTAGTAATACTGTAGATTTTGGCATATGAAAATGACTACATGTGTATAATACGTGTTATATGCAAAAATGCATAGTTCCACCGCAATAGGAGATGGGTAATAGATATCATAACACCACGAACATGGCTTGGGCTGGGGTTGAAACAGCCCACATATTTGATAAATATTAATAGTATGAATTTATTGCCGGCTGCTGAAATGAGTCCTGTTGGTTCATCACTGCAACCTTTAACAGCTATCAGTAGCCCAACACAAGGTGTTCCTCGCGCTGGGTGCACTGTCTATTATATGACCCCATTTGCTCTCTGAATGGCACTTCATTAAATGTTACCTTTTAGCCATGCCATGGATGGATGAAAATCAAAGTTACCAAGGCTGCAAGTCCCTGAATAATGAGTTTTTTTTCTCTCTCTCTCTCCCAGACCCAACCTTGAATATATATATTCAGATGAGCAGAGAGGTGGCAAAGTGCTCATCCCTGCCTCTCATTCGCTCTCCCTCTCAGTTAGGGCTTTAATAAATTCAATTTTGCAAATACTAGGATTGTATGCCTGCAAACATGTTACGCTTGTTGCCGTACCTGGTGGGGAGGGAGGAGAAAAAAAATAAATCTTAACACTATAAATATACATGCTATTACACACACACACACTTAATATGATTTATTATTGAGTGCATTTTTGCTGTGTTAAACAGTGTATCCAAACCCATTGTGGGTCCCTGTGTTGAACATGTAGCATATAATGACTGTGTAGTTCACAGTGTAGCTGGGGCAGTGTGTGTGTGTGTGTGCATGTGTGTGCGTGTGTGTGTGTGAGTGTGTGTGTGTGTGTGTGTGTGTGTGTGTGTGTGTGTGTGTGTGTGTGTGTGTGTGTGTGTGTGTGTGTGTGTGTGTGTGTGTGTGTGTATGTGTGTGTGTGTGTGTATGTATGTGTGAATGAATGGGGGATTAAGTAGGAACACACTTCAAAGACCTGGTTGGTTTGGTGCCTTGACCTGACCTGTTATGAATTATATGGAGATTCCTGTATTATACACATCAAATACACTGTTTTGTAAGCTGTCGTAGGAAAAAAAAACGGCAATATACATTTTCCTTTTCAATTGTCCTGCTAGTTTACTGGCTTTACTGTGGGCTACAGTGACAGTTGCTGTAGTCTAGTCTACTTTCCTCCCAAAATTAGTAAAGTGTTTCTATCAGACAATGATGGATATGAGTTGTCCATCATCATTATTATTCCGTAATTAAATGACATAATTAGCACATGAAAATAATAATGAATTAGCATTTTAGGCCACAGCTAGCCTATGCAGTAACTCTGCAGTCCTATGGAAAGTTATTCTCTCCTCTGACTAGTTTGAGTTAACATAATAAATAACAATATATGCCATTTAGCAGACACTTCTATCCAAAGCGACTTGCAGCCATGCGTGCATATATTTCTCGTACGGGTGGTCCTGGGAATCGAACCCACTATCCTGGCGTTGCAAGCACCATGCACTTCCAACTGAGCTACAGAAGTACTGTTGCTCAATACAGGCCATACTATTAACTAGCTGCCAGTCATCTCAGCCTAGACAGTCCCTCCCAGTGTCAGCTCATTAGCCTTTGCTATAATGATCAGCTGAAAACCATACATGCACCATAGTCTCTCCAACCAGACATCTCATTGTATTTATCAACACATGCTGTCGCAAATTATTGTTGAGGCCTCTCGCTCTCTCGCTCCCCTTTCAAAGTGATCTCCAGTCACTTTTAATTCACAACGTTCACCAGCATTCCACTCGCCCTATTTGCAATTAAGCCAATTTGGTTTGAATATGTAATGATGTCATTTCCATTCCACCTAAATTAGCACAGAGACCCAAAGGTCAGGGTGGAAATTTCCACTCGGTTGGTTGGAACCCCGACAATCACATCACATGCTCTGTGGATTAGTGATGGGCTTCAGTTAGCGTTGGCGGCGAGGTAAAGTGACTGGTCGGGTTTCAAAGAGGAAAGAAGCCGTGGCCACCAGGCGCATCGCTATTGTTTTGTATCCAGGAAAGGTCAGGGTTGCCTGTGCTGTGGCTCGGCCAGCTGTAGCCAGCTGTAGCCAGGTGGTGGAGGTGGCTCTCTCTGGCTCTCACCCTCCCTAAGTTTAATACACATTACACAGTGAGTTGTCTCTATGTGGGCTAGAGATGGTGGTTGGGATAACACGGAGGGCTGATCATTAGATCATCTTTACCAGCGTGCTCTAATTAGAATTCTTATGATACAATTTTATCCTTTAATTAGTGGAGATTGGCTGCTTCCTCTAACGCAGCTTATTAGTGGAACCACAGTTGTAGAACTGTAGAGAGAATCCACTCTCATTTGTCAGAGTGCCCCTTCTAATGTAAAACCTTCTTTCTTTCTCCCTCCCTCTCTCCATCCTCTACTTCCCTCACTCCTTTTTCTCTCTCTCCCTCTTTCACTTTTCCCTGTCTCACCCTCCTTCACTCCCTCTCCTTGCTTTCCTCACTCCCTCTCTCCCTCACTCCTTTCCTCCTTACTCAGCTGAACTTGGTGTCAAGCGTCACCATGTCAAAGAACCTGCCGTCGGTGTCCCCTCCGAACGTACCTCAGACCCCCACCACGCCCAGCGCCCCCGTGACACCCATGTCCCAGGTTCCCCAGGTGCCCTCCCTGCTCAGCGCCGCCAACGTCCCCAGCATGGGCGCCATGCGCAGACGTCACTCCGACAAGTACTCCATGCAACTGTCTTCAGGTAAGAACTTCTACACTAAGCTCAGTCACCTACTGTTATGATAATTAATAAAGTTGGATTCAATTGAATTGAATTGGAATACTGAGTTGGACTCCTTTCAATGCTTTGTCACTAATGGTTGTTGTTGTACAATCGCACAGTGTTTATTCCAATATGGAATGTTGGATTTAAAAGGAAAAAAGGCCTCTGTTTAATCAATCTAAATGTAAATAGACCAGAACTTTTTCTGAGCTTAAATATTACATGAATGTTAATTAAGTTAGAACGTTAAGACGTTCTATGTATTAAGCTCTTTGCATTTTAAAAGGGCTGTCTTTGAAGTTTATATTTACTCTCTGGTATTTAATATAAAATATGCATAAATTATTCAAGTTCATACAAAATATCTACATTGATCTAATTTTATATGGATGTATTAGTGTTTAAGATTTCTCATGAGAGAGATTAATAAAAAATCAATTTTGCTAGAGATGGAAAATGCTGATTTGATGTGTGCTCCCCTCCCTCTCCCTCTTCTCTTTCTCTCCCTCTTTTCATTTGATGAAACCCTAAACTCATTCCAATACCTTGAGGAATAAAATTTACCAATTATTTCAGGTGGTGACACAGTATTTATTTTTCCAGAGATCGCCCCAAACTATGAGTTTTATAAGAATGCTGATGTCAGACCGCCATTTACTTATGCAACCCTCATAAGGCAGGTGAGTGGGAGAAAAAATTAATTAACTTTGCCTGATTAGATTTAAATTAATTGCTGCTTGAATCGCAGGCAGCTCTGAGAGTGTGTCATGCTGCCTAGTTAGTAAACCATTATTTGATGTCATGTCATTTCAGGGTATCATGGAGTCGGGCGACATGCAGTTAACGCTTAATGAAATCTACAGCTGGTTCACGCGCACGTTCGCTTACTTCAGACGCAACGCAGCTACTTGGAAGGTACCTACCCTAAACCTACTCTTACAGCCTTAGAGTACACTACTTCCTCATTAAGAGACACCTCTTTGTGCCATACCTGCAGGAAGAAAAGCTTGGAGGAACATTTATTTACTTGACACCAACAGATTAGTATCCCACTCCCCTCTCTTTAACCTGACCTCTTGAATATAATTAATTTTTCCAACCTCTTTCTCTCAGATGACAAGTGAAAGAATAATTCTGCCTCTGATATCGTTTTCTAATTTGGTGCAATTAATAGGCGAGGCTGTGGCTGAGGAGTAGGGCCTGGCACGCTAATTACAATACAGCCACTCAATCATCAGCACCTTTTGTTACCATGCACCGTATTACTTCTCCTCCTCTCCCTCCCCTCTCTCTCTTTCTCTCTCCCTCTCTCTCTCTCACTCTCTATCTATCTCTCTCTCCTCTTTCTCTCTCTCTCTCGCTCTTCCTCTCTCTCCCTCTCTCTCTCCATCCCTCCTCCCACACCCACCCAGCCTCTCTTGCATATCATTGGTTAATTAGTCTGAAAGATGGCTGTTTGCCTAGGGAGGCTGGGGCTGTGGCAGGGGGTTTTGTGTTTAGTGTCTGGCCCGTGTGCTCCTATACACACACCATAGCTCATAGTGGCGGCCTGGCGGCCGCGTGTCCAACTGAGGGGTTATGGCCGTTCAGCCGGAACTAAAGGAGAACCAAAGTGAGAATTGGCCTGTCAGGGAGAGAACACACTTTATTTACCAGGACAAAAGGACTCATGTGTATCTCTGTCCTATACAACTTTCATTGCCTGCCTCTCCAACACAGTTAAAAATGTCTTCTTGATGCATCTGTTTTGGTAGAAATGTGTGTGTGTTGCTGATAAGTATATTCCCTCCCTCTACCCCAACAATACATGTATCAGTGTTTTATTCTCACCCACCTTAAGCATAATTCGTTAGCCAGTGGCCATTGTGGATACTCAGGACAAGGAGAGGGTGTGGGGATCAGGATACATCCACCTCTCATCAGCATGCAAAGCATATCAGCGCACTAGGTTTAGCAAAGTGAATTAATTTGGATTTGGGATGCAAATGATGTCGGCGTGTGATTACTGTTCCACAAGGGTGTGCTGCAAAAGACTCCGGACTCTTCCGGATTGTCACACAGTCGCGTGTGTTTTTTTGACTTATTTAGTCAATTGTTTTATCACTAACTGGTCATTAACCAGCTTACACATTACACACTCTCTATCTCTCGCTCTCTGACACACACACACATTTCTTTTTTGAAAGGCCCAGTCGTGGCCCAGTCGTGATATACAGAAGTGGGCACAATTGGCATTAGAAATATCTCAGTCCCTCTCTCTTTCACAATAACCTAGGTGATATATTTACATTTTGAGCTCCCACATTTCCTTTGTAAGGCGTTAGAGGGATGATCTGTGATGGGCTTGTCATTTGATTAACTGAGAGAATTTAAAAAAGAAAAAAGAAAGGTGATTTAATATCTCAGCTTGGTCTCATCAGCTCTGAGACTGGAGGATCCAGCCTCCGCTCTGCTCAGCTCCTCACTCCCCAGAAGCTTATTAGTTCTAACTATATAGCATGCATAATAAAACTGCTCATGTTCTCATTAATATTAAAATGATCATATTCAGAGCCATGGGCATTAAGATCAATCAAATCCTGGGATTTTCAGGTCAGATGCGAAGATCTGCTTATGTTTTTTTTTCTTCTTTAAAGAATCTATTTTCTTAGAGGGAAAAAACTGTATACCTCGTTGGAGAAATAATGCATATGAAAGCGGGTGATATTAAAGCAAAGGTTATTATTTGTAGGCTTTTTGATGCATGTTATAAGTATAACTTATCTGGAATGTTGGGGAGGAATATTGTATTTCTTTTGTTGATTTTCTTGTATTAATGCATGCATATCTCAGGTCATTTTGATAGCAAGGCTTTGCTTTAAGGGTATGTGACAATATTACAACAAAAAGGTGTCATAATCTGATCATTCATTTGACTCTTATCTTGACAGCATGCACATACTATTTAGATATTTTAGATATCTTGTCAGCCCACCCCAAAACGTACCCTCTCACACCAACCCTCATCCTCCTCATATCCCCCACACCTCATATTGTCACCAGGTTAGAAGTTAGCCACAGGATGGGAAGGGCCTCAAATCTCTGATACTGTCATCTTCTAAAGATACTGCCATTAAGACTAGAGCAGAGGGTAGAGGGCTGCTGCTGCTACTGACATCACCATTATCACCACAGCATTACCACTTCTGTCACCAAAAGCCATTCGCTATGCTGATTACCTCCTTTCAGCCTACTTACTCTGATTGATATGTACTGTGTGTGACTTGTAAGTGCATTCGCACTCACTCACTTTGACTAATTAAATCAATGGTGCGTGAATGTTAAGAATTTCAAAAATTTCAATTTGCGTTCGTTTTTTTCCCTTCCTTTCTTAGGTGGATAATAAAAAAATAAAATTACTCTTTCCATGACCTTTCTCTCCTTTTTTCCATCTGTAGAACGCCGTTCGCCACAACCTCAGTCTGCACAAGTGCTTTGTGCGTGTGGAGAACGTGAAGGGGGCCGTGTGGACGGTGGATGAGATGGAGTACCAAAAACGCAGGTCTCAGAAGATAACAGGGTACATTAGAGCAGAGCTGTCACTCTAACTCCCCACCTAGTCCTAGGGCCTGTACCGTATTACCACTAATATTCAGCCATTTTAAAATATCACTGTAGTACAGTATATGGTGTCTGTTCAAGGGCTGCCGTTCATTCTAGGATGATTTAATGTCACAGCTATTAGGGGAAATACGTATTTTAAATGTTACACCACTCGACTGTTTCACTGTTTAATAAACAATGATAATTTAGATATTTTTTATATCGACCAGAATTGTTATTGTTTTTTATGTTGGAATATGCCATATTGTAAAAATAAGAATGTTTATTTCAAACTGTTATGTGTATTTGTGTTTCCTGGTGTAGAAGCCCGACGCTTGTGAAGAACCTTCCCTCCAGCCTGGGCTATGGAGCTGCTTTAAACGCCAGCTTACAGGTAAACACCCAGTATTAACCTGCGGTTGCTCTGTCAGATCCTGTATGCTAGACAAAATGTGACTGATTCCCCTCCATTGTATTGTGGGTACTATAGCCTACAGATGTCTATGTGTGTGGTTTATGTGTGGTTAAATGGGAGTCGTTCAGCCTAATGTACTGTATGTTCATAGTCAGGAAAGAGAGACAGAAGAAAGTGGCTAAAGTTGAGTGCAGGGTCTCTCTCCTCCCTCTCTCGCCCTCCTCTCTCTCACTCACTCCAGCTCCCTCCATCTCTCTCCCTCTCTCTCCTTCTCGCTCCATCTCTCTCCATCTCTCTCTATCTCTCTCCATCTCTCTCCTCCCTCCTCTCTCTCCCTCCCTCCATCTCTCGCCATCTCTCTCCTCCCTCCTCTCTCTCCCTCCCTCCATCTCCCTCCATCTCTCTCCTTCTCTCTCCCTCTCTCCATCTCTCTCCATCTCTCTCCCTCCCTCCAGCTCTCTCCATCTCTCTCCTTCTCCCTCCATCTGTCTTGTTGAGATCAGTGAGAATGGAGGCCACCCTGTGGCTAGAGCAGGAACCAGCTCTTTCTCTCTCTCAGCTTGAATACAGGCTGAGATTGATAGCAGCCGCAGCAAATGCAAGGGCATTTGCATTAATATTTATCCAAGCTGTCATAAATGATTTGGCTTCATACTGTTGGCCAGCTAGCAAGGTGCGCGTGGCAAAAACATTAAAATGTAATCGCAAATATAACTTTAAGGCGCAGGAGGCAAAAGTGTCAGGAGTTCTATATTATTTTGGAGGTAACATCTTTTGTCTGTTTAATAGTAATCGAAAGACGTCAAAAATCTTTCATAGTGTGGAGTTATATTGAGTCGAATAAACCATAAGTGAAAACTATCCAGTGATGGTTGTAAACTATCCAATCATTAGTAATTAAAATCCTCTAGAAAGCATCCAGTAATTGTCTTAAAGGAAAATTCCACCCAAAATGTACAACTTTCAAAATACAGAAATACAGCTCCCCACAGCTGTCTTTTGTTAGCTTAATAGCTTGTGAAAAGTCTTTACTAGTATTATCTGTATTTGGATAGTTATATATCTTGAAATTTGATTGCTGACATGCAAGACATTTTGGGACAATGTCAACAATGGACTATTGAAACAAATATCAAAAGATAGTTTTTGGGAGGAATTTTCCTTTAAGTGTTAGGTTTATCTCCATGATGGCCTATAATCTGAATACCCTCTTGTCTCTTCCTTCCCTCTCTCTCTCTCTCTCTCTCTCTCTCTCTCTCTCTCTCTCTCTCTCTCTCTCTCTCTCTTTCTCTCCCTTCGCTTTCTTCCGCTCCCTCCTCTCTCCCTCCCTCCCCCTCTCTCTATCACCCTCCCCCCTTCTCTCTCCCACCCTCTTCCTCCCTCTCCCCTACCCCTTCCTCTCCCTCTCTCCCCCTCTCCCTTCCTCCCTCCCAGGCGGCGCTGGCTGAGACCTCCCTGCCTCTGCTGGGGAACCCTGGTCTGATGAACAGCAGTTCGTCTGGCTTGATGGGAGGCAGTCCTCCTGGTCTAATGGGCGGGAGCCCCCCTGGTATGCTTGGCGGTAGCCCCCATGGATTTATGGGTGGTAGCCCCCATGGATTCATGGGCGGGAGCCCCCATGGGTTGATGGGCGGCAGCCCCACAGGAATGATGGGTAGCAGCCCCCCCAGCCTGCTCCAGTCCAGTCACGACGACCTGAATGGATCGCTGGATCACCTGGACACCAATGGCCACAGCAGCCCTGGAGAATACTCCCCACAGGCACACATGTAAGTAGCACTCAGTGGCTTTTCGTTGGAGAGGTGTCGCACGCACACACACACACACACACCTACCTCAGTGTGTTCACTGTAACACAGAGAGAGAGTTGGTGACAGACCTCCCCCTCTGTTCCATGTAGCAGATGATACAGTAGCAACAGTGGATCCCCACTCTTCCCATAGCTGTTAGCATCGTAGCTTGTTAAAAGTCTTTACTAGATTATAACATAGTGGGAGGTTTTTGGGGGCTAATTTGATTTTAGTACAAAATATCACACATATTTCGACGGTTCAAAGACATCTTAATTTCAACTACACATTATGCCACAACTAAAGTGAGGTTTACATTTGGCTTTCAGTTGTAACAGTTATAACCTATAAAAATAAGATAATTACACATTCGGTTTTAATTACTCCAACGTCTGCATTGTAGGGGTTTAGATGTTATATTTTATTCAAGACCGTCCCTATTAATATTTAGCGGCTAACTGTATCATTAATTACTTTAAAATCTTTGCCTTCTCTGTCTTTTTTAATGGAGCCGAGAAAGAAGAGAGCCATTAAAAATGTATGTCATGTGGGTTTCAGGAATGTGTATGTTCCAAATGTGCTTCCCCCTAACCAGTGATGTCACACGTGTCACTGAAAGAGCTGCACAATCTGGACCCCTACAAATCAGCTGGGCTAGACAATCTGGACCCTTTCTTTCTAAAATTAGCCGCCAAAATTGTCGCAACCCCTATTACTAGCCTGTCCAACCTCTCTTTCGTATCGTCTGAGATCCCCAGAGATTGGAAAGCTGCCGCGGTCATCCCGCTCTTCAAAGGGGGTGACACTCTAGATCCAAACTGTTACAGACCTATATCCATCCTGCCCTACCTTTCGAAAGTATTTGAAAGCCAATTTAACAAACAGATCACCGACCATTTCGAATCCCACTGTACCTTCTCCACTATGCAATCTGGTTTCCGAGCTGGTCATGGGTGCACCTCAGCCACGCTCAAGGTCCTAAACTATATAATAACCGCGATCGATAAAAGACAGTACTGTGCAGCCGTCTTTATTGACCTGGCCAAGGTTTTTGACTCTGTCAATCACCGCATTCTTATTGGCAGACTAAATAGCCTTGGTTTCACAAATGACTGCCTCGCCTGGTTCACCAACTACTCCTCAGATAGAGTTCAATGTGTCAAATCGGAGGGCCTGTTGTCTGGACCTCTGGCAGTCTCTATGGGGGTGCCACAGGGTTCAATTCTCGGGCCGACTGCTGGTGACTCTCAGATCCACCTCTACGCAGACGACACCATTTTGTATACATCTGGCCCTTCATAGGACACTGTGTTAACAAACCTCCAAATGAGCTTCAATGCCATACAACACTCCTTCCGTGGCCTCCAACTGCTCTTAAACGCTAGTAAAACTAAATGCATGCTCTTCAATCGAACGCTGCTTGCACCCGTCCGCCCGACTAGAATCACTACTCTCGGCGGGTCTGACTTAGAATATGTGGACAACTACAAAGACCTAGGTGTCTGGTTAGACCATAAACTCTCCTTCCAGACTCACATTAAGCATCTCCAATCCAAAGTTAAATCTAGAATCGGCTTCCTATTTCGCAACAAAGCCTCCTTCACTCATGCTGCTAAACATGCCCTCGTAAAACTGACTATCCTACCGATCCTTGACTTCGGCGATGTCATTTACAAAATAGCATCCAACACTCTACTCAGCAAATTGGATGTAGTCTATAACAGTGCCATCCGTTTTGTCACCAAAGCCCCATATACTACTCACCATTGTGACCTGTACGCTCTCGTTGGCTGGCCCTCACTACATATTCGTTGCCAAACCCACTGGCTCCAGGTCATCTATAAATCTCTTCTAGGCAAATCCCTGCCTTATCTTAGCTCATTGGTCACCATAGCAACACCCACCCGTAGTATGCATTCCAGCAGGTATATCTCACTGGTCATCCCCAAAGCCAACACCTCCTTTGGCCGCCATTCCTTCCAGTTCTCTGCTGCAAATGACTGGAACAAACTGCAAAAATCTCTGAAGCTGGAGACACTTATCTCCCTCACTATCTTTAAGCATCAGTTGTCAGAGCAGCTTACCGATCACTGCACCTGTACACAGCCCATCTGTAATTAGCCCACCCAACTACCTCATCCCAATATTGTTATTTACATTGTTATTTATTTTGCTCATTTGCACCCCAGTATCTCTATTTGCACATCATCTTCTGCACATCTATCACTCCAGTGTTAATACTAAATTGTAATTATTTTGCACTATGGCCTATTTATTGCCTTACCTCCATAACTTATAACATTTGCACACACTGTACAGTGGGGAGAACAAGTATTTGATACACTGCCGATTTTGCAGGTTTTCCTACTTACAAAGCATGTAGAGGTCTGTAATTTTTATCATAGGTACACTTCAACTGTGAGAGATGGAATCTAAAACAAAAATCCAGAAAATCACATTGTATGATTTTTAAGTAATTAATTTGCATTTTATTGCATGACATAAGTATTTGATACATCAGAAAAGCAGAACTTAATATTTGGTACAGAAACCTTTGTTTGCAATTACAGAGATCATACGTTTCCTGTAGGTCTTGACCAGGTTTGCACACACTGCAGCAGGGATTTTGGCCCACTACTCCATACAGACCTTCTCCAGATCCTTCAGGTTTCGGGGCTGTCGCTGGGCAATACGGACTTTCAGCTCCCTCCAAAGATTTTCTATTGGGTTCAGGTCTGGAGACTGGCTAGGCCACTCCAGGACCTTGAGATGCTTCTTACAGAACCACTCCTTAGTTGCCCTGGCTGTGTGTTTCGGGTCGTTGTCATGCTGGAAGACCCAGCCACGACCCATCTTCAATGCTCTTACTGAGGTAAGGAGGTTGTTGGCCAAGATCTCGCGATACATGGCCCCATCCATCCTCCCCTCAATACGGTGCAGTCGTTCTGTCTCCTTTGCAGAAAAGCATCCCCAAAGAATGATGTTTCCACCTCCATGCTTCACGGTTGGGATGGTGTTCTTGGGGTTGTACTCATCCTTCTTCTTCCTCCAAACACGGCGAGTGGAGTTTAGACCAAAAAGCTCTATTTTTGTCTCATCAGACCACTTGACCTTCTCCCATTCCTCCTCTGGATCATCCAGATGGTCAATGGCAAACTTCCGACGGACCTGGACATGCGCTGGCTTGAGCAGGGGGACCTTGCGTGCGCTGCAGGATTTTAATCCATGACGGCGTAGTGTGTTACTAATAGTTTTCTTTGAGACTGTGGTCCCAGCTCTCTTCAGGTCATTGACCAGGTCCTGCCATGTAGTTATGGGCTGATCCCTCACCTTCCTCATGATCATTGATGCCCCATGAGGTGAGATCTTGCATGGAGCCCCAGACCGAGGGTGATTGACCTTCATCTTGAACTTCTTCCATTTTCTAATAATTGCGCCAACAGTTGTTGCCTTCTCACCAAGCTGCTTGCCTATTGTCCTGTAGCCCATCCCAGCCTTGTGCAGGTCTACAATTTTATCCCTGATGTCCTTACACAGCTCTCTGGTCTTGGCCATTGTGGAGAGGTTGGAGTCTGTTTGATTGAGTGTGTGGATAGGTGTCTTTTATACAGGTAACGAGTTCAAACAGGTGCAGTTAATACAGGTAATGAGTGGAGAACAGGAGGGCTTCTTAAAGAAAAACTAACAGGTCTGTGAGAGCCGGAATTCTTACTGGTTGGTAGTTGATCAAATACTTATGTCATGCAATAAAATGCAAATGAATTACTTAAAAATCATACAATGTGATTTTCTGGATTTTTGTTTTAGATTCCGTCTCTCACAGTTGAAGTGTACCTATGATAAAAATTACAGACCTCTACATGCTTTGTAAGTAGGAAAACCTGCAAAATCGGCAGTGTATCAAATACTTGTTCTCCCCACTGTATATAGATTTTCTATTGTGTTATTGACTGTACGTTTTGTTTATTCCATATGTAACTCTGTGTTTGTTGTTTTTATCGCACTGCTTTGCTTTATCTTGGCCAGGTCGCAGTTGTAAATGAGAACTTGTTCTCAACTGGCTTACCTGGTTAAATAAAGGTGAAATATATATATATTTTTTTTAAGTCCATGTTTACCTTGCCAAAGATAGGAAATGGAGCACCAAGGGCGCTGAATGTGAAGCTACTACTTCCTCCATCCCCCACACACTTCCGCACCCCGCCCCCCATTTGAAATCAATGATGCAAGCCACAGTAGCTAACTTGCTAGCCATCTCTGGAGTAGAACCGGGTGTTAAGACAGTTCTGTATCGAAGAAGGGCACTGACTGTTCTGAGAGGAACTGGCCTAACCCATACATTAATTTGTTTGGATGTGTTTAATCCTTTCGGAAATGGGCCAGAGTGGGGGGGGGGGGGGGGGGGGGGGGGTGTTAAGTGGGGCAAATCTACAGTGCCAGACAGAATCCCTGTGTATCCACTCCCCCAGGTTATTTAACTTTTAATAACGGACAGAACAGGAGACTCTCTCTCTCAGACGACCTCGCCTCGGTGTGAGGGGCTGCTGTGGAGGCTGCCTCCACTACCGCTCGCCGCCTTCACACGGCCGCAACATCCTCAAAATGGAAGAAATGTGTTTTTATGAGTGGGTTCTCTGGGATGCACTTAATAATGAAGGGAGAGTAACACTAACTAAAGAGTACACGGTATACCAGGCGATCCTCAGGAGAGAGCAGGGAAACTTCAGAAACCAAGTGAATCGAACAATTAGACAAACCTTTTTCCCCCACTTCTGGAGGTTAATGTTATCAGCCAAACAGCGACTCAGATAGCTCCAGGCATGTTACCATTTATGTGTGTGTCCCCTCAAGGGTATGCTTAAGAGGAAGAAAAGACTAAAGAAGACAGGAACTAGATGTGCTAGCTAGAATTACAGTACAGTAGGATGCTGCTAAAAGACTTCAGTAAAAGCAGTTTCACTTTGAATAAAAGAGATTTAGACTTTCAAAAATGTACGCATGTTGACCACAGTATCACATTGTAAAATTTGTGAAACAATTTACCCCAAATCCTTAGTTTTTTATGTTGCATTGTTTTGTAAGCCATTAAGTTGTTGTATGTACTTTTATCACTCCACACTCCTTGATAACCATAAATGATCCATGTTCAGATGCTATGATGTGTGTCACTCTGTCCTCTGATCGTCCCCCGCCCCTCATTAACTTACGACACATAGCTAATTATGTTATTTGCATCCCTGCCTTGCCTCATACAGACCGTGATTACCAGTGATCATAATCTCCCAGTGATGATGATGAGTCTCTGTCCAAGATGCACTTATGAACCACACACACACAACACACACACACATGAACGTCACGCACACACACACACATAGCTGGTATTTATCAGACACAGAGCCTAGGCATTTAGTCCAGACTTCATAATGCCAGCTAGCCATTAACGACTAAATGACTCATCCAATGGTTCTCTAATACAGTCTATAGCCCCAACGAGGACTAATCATTTTTCTCCTTTCTTTTTTTCATTTTCCAACCACACAAGCAAGTTAGTGATTTATAATGAATGCAAATGAAAGCTGTGAGCTATGCCTGTGATGGTGAGGAGAAAAGGTTGTGCTGCTGGCTGTCTAATGGCTGTGCTACTGATTACAGTCTGGTCCTGCCTTGTTTGACTCCCATTACGATTAATATCGTCAATGTAGCATGTTTGTTGTAACATGATAAATACAAATGATTTATTACAAAGCTTGAGGAAGATCACCAAGGATTTGAATATACTTCAGAAAGTATTCACACCCCTTAAATCATTCCACATTTTGTTGTGTTACCAGGTGAGATTAAAATTGATTTAATTGTCATTTTTTGTCAACGATCTACACAAAATACTCTGTAAGGTCAAAGTGGAAGAAGATTTTGCCTGTGCTTAGCTTTATTCCGTTTCTTTTTATCCTAAAAAACGTCCTAGCCCTTGTCGATGACAAGCATACCCATAACATGATGCAGCCACCACCATGCTTGAATATGAAGAGTGGTACTCAGTGATCTGTTATGTTGAATTTGCCCCAAACATAACCCTTTCTATTCAGGACATAAAGTTAATTTATTAGCCTCATTGTTTGCACTTTTACTTTAGTGGCTTATTGCAAACAGGATGCATGTTTTGGAATATTTTTACTCTGTACAGGCTTCCTTCTTTTCAGTCAGTCATTTAGGTTAGTATTGTGGAGTAATTACAATGTTGTTGATCCGTCCTCAGTTTTCTCCTATCACAGCCATTAACCCTAACTGTTTTAACGTCACCATTGGCCTCATGGTGAAATCCCTAAGCGGTTTCCTTCCTCTCAGGCAACTAAGTTACGAAGGACACCTGTATCTTTGTAGTGACTGGGTGTATTGATATACCATCCAAAGTGTAATTAATAACTTCACCATGTTCAAAGGGTTATTCAATATCTGCTTTTTTTTAAATTTTTACCCATCTACCAATAGGTGCCCTTCTTTGCGAGGCATTGGACAACCTCCCTGGTCTTTGTGCTTGAATCTGTGTTTGAAATTCACTGCTCGACTGAGTGACCTTACAGATATTTGTACAGAGATTAGCTATTCATTCAACAATCATGTTAAACACTATTATTGCACACAGGGTGAGTCCATGCAACTTATTGTGTGACTTGTTAAACACATTTTTACTCCTGAACTTATTTAGGCTTACTATAAGAAAGGGGTTGAATACTTATTGACTCAATGTCAATGTTTTATTAATTTGTAAACATTTCTAAAAAACATAATTCCACCTTGACATTATGGGGTATTGTGTGTAGGCCAGTGACTCAAAATCTAAATGTAATACATTTTAAATTCAGGCTGTAACACAATAAAATGTGGAAAAAGTTAAGTGGTGTGAATACTTTCTAAAGGCATATGGGTTTGTAAAAACATTAATTGGGAGAGATATCAAATACTTCACATCAAAACATCAAAACATATGTCTGTTGATTATAGTGGTAGCTCTGAATATGAATATTGTTTTACATTTTTATTTACGACAACAAATTAAACTCAATAAATGTGTTACCAGATAACTAGAATTAGTATGATCAATTAATGCTAGAGAATAGTTTCATCGCCCTCTTCTCACCTGGAGGGGAGAGTTATGTTTATTCTGGTTCCTCTTGGGTGTGTGGGTTGAGAAGGAAACATATTCATCACACCGCCTAGCATCCTGAAAAGGCAAAGCCTCTCCTTCTAGCTACCACATCTGAATATTAATTTATTTTGCTATAAATATTAAAGTAATCTGTACCTTTTAAAATTCTTTTCAAATTTAAAGTTCCTCCTGCCATTGATGAAGGCAACCCAGGAGATGGCTGCCAGACACGTTCTAATACAGAGAGTACTTGATAAGGATTTTTCTTACTCTCTCTCCTCTCTCTCTCTCGCTCTCTCTCTCTCCCCCCTCTTAGTCCACAGGGATTCCCTGATGCATCCGACGTGTCAGAAATAATTAGGTTTTGTCAGATTTATCATCGCGCCACAAACCCTTTCCCTGAGTAGGGCCCCGGATCATGTTAAGCCTTGTTTGTGTGTGACAGCATTATTATTCTTGTTAGTAGCCCCACACATCCGCCCACACTCTCTCTGTTGTTCTGGAGGGGAAACATCCCCACGTCCCCACTCAGACCGGTGTTTTAGTGTTTTCACACTGCCTTTATTCACAGTGGCTAAAGATATTCATCCATTTAGAGTTAAAAACATGTATCGTGTGTCCGACTGAACTGCCGGGCTGAAGTTGATTAATGGCGGAGACTAGCTGCAGGTTTTTCCTCTGGAGGAGCGACACGCACGCCCCTGCATATTAATGACGTATTGCGCTTTCTATTAACAAGATTTAAAAAAGCTTGACTCCCCTTGCTCTGGGGGACTAGAGGGGATGAGAAATGCTCCATTATTTAGTATGCAGTGTGTTTTATATATATATATATATATTTTAAGTCAACCAGGTGCCATCAGTAAACTTTGGAAGGTCAACCATGTCTGGGTGTCAGCCGTTTTCACGTTTTTCTCATGCAATTTTGGTACAATTGCTTAGAGTGGAAGTGATGTTTCATGTTGAACTATCGTTCACAAATACTATGGTTGTTGTTACATGCTGTTTAGCAACGTAATGCCAGCTTTGATATATTTATGATAATTCTGGCTGATTTCAATTATTGTCAGCAAAATTGTACATGTTTTCTCTGAAAAAGATTAATATACTGTATGTGTATTAAATGGAATAGCTAGGATACATTCTGTAGAAGAGGGAGGCTATTTTAGTGATTTCTTAGATGTTTTTTTCTGGTTCACCCCCTGCTAATTGTGCTGAGGGGCTTCTCCCTCACAATCTTTCTAATTACCTTTAACAAATAGCAGCATGATAAAATATGTGACCAGGGTGAACAGTTGATTCCTTAGAGCCTTGTACGCAAACAACTCAGATATTCATAAGAGGATCTCTTTGACTTCACCACCATTGTAGACCCCTGTCTGCAGCTCACTGACCAACCACCAGACAGACAGAGAGACAGGTTTAGTTCAAAGCTGTGTGCTCAAACACCTTGGTAGTGCATAGGTGAAATCCGGGCTTGTGGCACTCATTTGAATTTCATGGCTTTTGCGGCTTTTAACTGTATCAATTTCCTACTCTGATATCATATGTCTTTATATATAAAATAATTAACAACATATTTCATCCATTCCTTTCCAGGCCAGCGATCCACGTCAAGGAGGAGCCGTTGAACATGGACGACGATGACTGTCCGATGTCGCTGGTGACGACAGCCAACCACAGCCCAGAGCTGGACGACGACCGGGAGCTGGAGGAGGGAAACCTATCAGATGACCTGGAGTGACTACTGGAGTCCCTCCCACTACTACAGGCCCCTCCCTCCATCTCCGTCACACTGTCCTCCTACCTGTTTCCTCACAGGCTGTCCTCCTAGAACCCGCTAGAACCAGAACCAGAACCACTCCACACCCAGAACCAAACAGAACCAACAGAACAGACCACAGCTGACTCTCCTCCCTCCCGACCCACGGACTGGAGTATTTATTGAGCATGCATCCGGAAGACGAGGCCCAAAGGAACTCTTTGTTGCAGCCCTTTGGGATCCCTGACTGAACATGACAGGCATGAGATGTCTGGTTTTTAAAACGACTTTCAGACCTGTTTCATTAAGATGGCTTGGCCACTACATACACACAGACAAACACAGAGGCTCATGGATGGAAAACGACAAAAACACGAGTCTGGAAACCCGTTCTGTAGAAAGCTAACGGCCTCATATACTGCCAAAAAAATATGTTTAAGTTTGTGAATATCAAAAACCCTCACAGTAGTTGTTGATGTTAGAAACGATTGCTGGTTCAATTCAAACATTGTTGCTCTGTCCATCATTTGCACAGGAGTAGTATCAGAAATTAGTGTCACTGCCTGTATGTTGCTAAAATTCTAAAAAAAAAACAGTATTTTCTTTTTTTTCTTTTCGCCTTATACTTTTTGTTTTATGATTTCTGGCACCACCAACTGTAAATGCCATTTCCTATTTCACACCAGTAACAGAAGCACGGTATCAAGACTGTTGCAGCTGTCAAAAAAGTAGGCTTCCAGTCTGTATCTGTTTGTGATGAAAGTAATTAACGTGATATTAAGTTTGAAAAACGTAACTGTTTGTGTAAGCACCAACCAATACGGAAAAAAATGCATTTCTGCATATTCTTCTGCTGTTCTCTTTTACCTCCTTGTTCTAAAGCTTTGTCTACCTGCAAACAGTCACAGGCAACAGCTAGAAACCAAAGCCAACACTATCAATGGCCAATAGCTTAGACAGAAGCCACCAGACTCTTTGGTCAGCCTTCTGTGACTTTAACTAGTACAAAGAGAAGCTTTCCGCAAACTACCTTCTAAATAACCTCTGGGATCGTTTAGTTTAGCCCTGTACAAAGATGATTCAAGAAAAAAATTAAAGATTTTGATGTGTAATTTGATAACTCGTAGTGTCCACTTGGAGTTTAGGGCGAGAGAGGAGTATCTACCAGGACTAAAGAGAGGAGAGGAGATGTGATGTTATGTAACTACAGGCTGTGATAGGGACTGGTAGAAAGCAGCTATATTGTAAAAGTGGATCATGACCAAAACAAACATTTGTGTATTCAATGGAAGGGCAGAACATTGTGTTGTTGTGAAGATATTTTTTTTTTTTTTTTTTTTTTGTTACCCATCATGTCATAGTTTTTTCTAATCTAGTGAATATGTAATGTTCAGTGGGACTGTCAAATATGTCATGTCTTATTTCCGTGCGGTTTGTTTAGAGACACGTTTAAAACCGAAACTGAAAACATAGTAACCAAACATTTAAAATATCTAGTAAAGCCAAATAAGTCATAATTTCAAGTTGATATGAAATGATGTGGCTTGGTTATCACGTAAAAGCAAATAATATAGCCATTGTAGAAGAGGGATATCAAAGGTGAAAATAAACATTTTCTAGGTGATATTTGCTTTATTCTATAGTTTAAATACTTCATTGTCTAATTCATAGCTTCTTAACTATATAGATACAGTCATTGGTAGCATAGGAGAAGCTATCTTTAACTGCACTGCATTCTGTATAGGGTAGGTAACTTTTATATCACATTTGGGATTCTAGTGGCAGGAACAGAAGTTAGTGATTGTCTAAAAATATATTTCATTTCTCTCAGCTAAATTTCATCTAGAAAAGTGGATGTTGTTAATTTAATGGTCATTTCCGTTTTCAGTCAAACCAAAGTTACACAAAATTCTGCCTCTGGTTATGGGATAGACACTCTAGAAATTACACACACACACACACCCTTACAAAGGCTCACACACACACACACAGTCCTGTGTTTTTGGTCTGCCAGCTTTCCTGGTCCTTGTTATGGTAACCTTCAGATGCAGAAAGGCAAATACTGTCAAATAACTGACTGAGTTGTATTGTATTTGAACTATCAGTTTGTGTCTGCTTTGTGCGTATGTATGGGAACATACTGTGCATATGTTGTTTTCAAGTGTTGTGCCAAGCCAAAAAAGTTGGCTGCTAGAGCTTAGCGCACTACATACATAACCAAACACACATGCATAACCAAACACACGTTACACACACACTCATGCCAGTTCCACTTCAAGAGGGTGCTGGGCCCAGGAACAAAGCTTATCCCTTATGTACTTTGATGGAGTCAGCAAAATGACTTGAGGACGACGTTCATAATAATCTTATCACACCAAATATAAGGACACAGCGTCTTTCAAAAAAGGGTTCTCCCACTTACCCCCAAAAATGAAGGCTTTCTAAAAGGTTCTACCTCTGCACAACCAATTCAGAACAATTAAATGGCAGATTGCACGTCAAGTTATTAGAATGCCACAAGAGCTGTTACACTTTACTCAATGGACATGGCTCAACGGACAGTTTACATTCCCAACGTCAGATATGGAAAAAGATTAGTATTGTAATAGGTTGTCCTCAAACATTTGTAGAATGATCATGTAAAAATACCTTTAAGGGAATATTGTGTTTTAAAATGCATGTCTAAAATCATTTGGTGGACTGGAAAACAATCATTAATAAATAAAAATAATATAACAAATACAAATTATCAGGATGATGACCTAAATGTAAGTACAATGCATAAGAATGCATACCTCAGCTATACTGTTTGGGAAGGAAAAAACTGTCAGCCACAGAATGCATATTACCTGTAGATTTTGCATGGGTTTTGTAAAAATAAAAATGTCTAAAATAGTTGCTTGCACATAATACCAGAAAGATCTCCAGAACTACAATCTGCTCCTCCACTAGAGTTTAGGATTGTCTGGATTTTCTGGGATGATTTTGTCTGTATTTTGATAACTGTGCATACTATGTAAAAATGTTGGTGGACCCATAAAATTTACCAGACTTTTTTCTAAGAGAAAAAAAAATATCTGTGTTTCTTTTCTGAATTTCATGATTTTTTACTGTTCTCTCATTGCTCGCTAAGAATAGCAAACCTGTTTTTTCTGCATCTGCTTTGCGTAGCTGTAAGGCTTAACCTAATGTGTGTATTTATTGCTTGTACCTCTGTGCATACTTTATGAAGCATTATGTCTGGCAGTTGAGTCATGTCTACTTTCTACTACTATCATTCTCTAATAATTGGGAATATGATCCCCCTATGTATACAGTAAATTGGGACTGTAGCAAACACATATGTTTATGTAATTGGTGAATACATTTTATGTTTTTGTTTTATTCCTTTATGATCGAGGTTAACTCATTTTTGATACTTTCATTACCGTGTACTGTGTCCGTGCGTTAAGATTCTCTGACATTAGAAAGTCATGGTTGAGAATTGTAACAAACTTTATTATTTTCTGTATTCATGGCTTTTCACTGCTGACTAAAATAAAGGACCAAAACTAGGATTTGAAAAGCAACTGTCTACCTCCAACTTCAGGGAGTTCTTACTTTTTTTGTACACATATATATTTTATTCTACAAAGGCACAACCATGAAAAATCTAGCTGGCATTACGCTTTTAACGTTTCAGGACTGTACTACTTCTGAGAATGAGAAAAAAACCTATTCAATTTTAATGTGTATGTTACAAGGCTTTGTTCCAGATTCTAGCACCCAGTCTGGTTTAGAGGAGGGGGACATGCGGATCCATTGGCAGAGCCCTCTGGAGCCAACCCCCTGGACCAGTAATGGCTCTGGGGCCACGTGTTCAAGCCACCCTTTGATCAGTACACCCATGGCCCAGTACACTACTAGGCCTGTAGTTACTGGAGAGTTTATCATAAGCCTTGACTGGGGGTAGTTTATCCAGGGAATAGCATACTGTAGGGATCAACAGAGACTCAGAAGACACCAGGAAATGACCAGTCTATCATTTTAATGGTAGGTTTATTTGAACAGTGAGAGACGGAATAACAACAACAAAATCCAGAAAAACGCATGTCAAAAATGTTATAAATTGATTTGCATTTTAATGAGGGAAATAAGTATTTGACCCCCTCTCAATCAGAAAGATTTCTGGCTCCCAGGTGTCTTTTATACAGGTAACGAGCTGAGATTAGGAGCACACTCTTAAAGTGCTTGGAGTGCTCCTAATCTCAGCTTGTTACCTGTATAAAAGACACCTGTCCACAGAAGCAATCAATCTGATTCCAAACTCTCCACCATGGCCAAGACCAAAGAGCTCTCCAAGGATGTCAGGGACAAGATTGTAGACCTACACAAGGCTGGAATGGGCTACAAGACCATTGCCAAGCAGCTTGGTGAGAATGTGACAACAGTTGGTGCGATTATTCGCAAATGGAAGAAACACAAAAGAACTGTCAATCTCCCTCGGCCTGGGGCTCCATGCAAGATCTCACCTCGTGGAGTTGCAATGATCATGAGAACGGTGAGGAATCAGCCCAGAACTACACGGGAGGATCTTGTCAATGATCTCAAGGCAGCTGGGACCATAGTCACCAAGAAAAAACTATTGGTAACACACTACGCCGTGAAGGACTGAAATCCTGCAGCGCCCGCAAGGTCCCCCTGCTCAAGAAAGCACATATACAGCGCCGTCTGAAGTTTGCCAATGAACATCTGAATGATTCAGAGGAGAACTGGGTGAAGTGTTGTGGTCAGATGAGACCAAAATCGAGCTCTTTGTCATCAACTCAACCTGGAGGAGGAGGAATGCTGCCTATGACCCCAAGAACACCATCCCCACCGTCAAACATGGAGGTGGAAACATTATGCTTTGGGGGTGTTTTTCTGCTAAGGGGACAGGACAACTTCACCGCATCAAAGGGACGATGGACCATGTACCGTCAAATCTTGGGTGAGAACCTCCT